TATATAGAACATGAATAGTTTAAAATTGGGTTTAAAAAGTCTGGCTTGCAGTACTTAATGGAAGATGGAAAATAATGCAGTCAACAGAGAAACATTATACTGCAAAAGAGAAATGTTCTAATCTATTCTTAACTCACTTTTATCAATAATCCCCATAGCTGGCTTCTGGCCATCCCACATGAATAATTTAGAGCCAGGAAAAAACAGAGATCTGGACAGACATCGTCCACATCTGTAATTATCTGCCTTGCTATATTAAGTTATTCACCTGTTAAAATCCAATTTCCTACGATATAGATAAATATGCTTAAAGGTTACACAGCTAAAAATAGCACTGCCTGCAGTATTTTCTATACCGTAGAATACATAAATTATCCTTGTCAGTATGTTACTTTAAAAAAGCATTGGTTTGTATTTCTAGCAGAAGGCATTTCAAAGATATCAGGGGTTGCATTTTGGTCAAATAGCTTTGCAGCATATATAAAAGTGTGTAGGTAAAATCACTAAAGATATTTTATTATTGCCACTAAATTGGCAGAAAAAGATACTAGGGTTCTCATAGGAAATAGTAACACATGCCTAAATCTAGTGAAATTATGACATTTTGGTTTTGGGGTTTTTTTCCCCTTAAAGGATTTTTCTTTTGTAGGTGCTCTATGGCTGAACCAACTTCAACCTGAAAATTTCCCTTCTGCAAGGCCACTGCCCAAACATGCCCCTTCTTGGAGAAATCTCCACTCCGAGCCTCCTTGAACAAGAGGGAATGTGGCTTTATTCCACTTTGAGCCCAAGAATAAAACCATTTGCAAAGCTCTACCTGTGAACCACAGCCTCTTCATTGCTGTTGCTACAGCCTTGGTACGGCTTTTTGGAATATTTATTGTTTGCCATTATACACAAGGTGGAAAAAAATGCTCTTTGACTCTTGGGATCCTGAGATGACTTTCACTGGCCTAAAAGTGACAAAGGTTTCAATCTGAATTATGGATCTGGAAACCACTGATATGAGGAGATAACTCTACAGCCTCCATCTCCAGTAGCCAGGACATCAGCCTTCAGTGCCATTCAGCAAGGCTTCACTAGAAATGAATGAAGATATCTGCATACAGTCATTGTCTTGCAGCTTCCTCCTCCTAAAGAAAATGCAGCAGAAAAGCCATAACCCTTGCCCATAAACCAAGTTATCCAAGGGTCAAAAAAACAATGGAAAATTGTAGTTTTAGTGTCAACACTATGCCAAGTATTGTCATAAATAGAGAAGGTTTCTGCTCCAACCAAGCAGATGGAAAATATTCTATTGTTCAGAAATAAAGCAGATTTCCCACCCAGGCCCTGGCCACATAATTACATCTCTCTGTGTGAGCCCAGCCTTTCAACCACCCTCCATGCAAAGCAGCTTTCAGGAAGAAAGTCTAATACTGCAGCTATTATTACTTTTGTTCCTTATTTCTCTTGTCCAAAGATTCAAATGCAAGGATGACTGGTGCCACAAAAAAGCAAGAAACTTCCTTTGATAAACAGGACGTTGGGTTTTCTATGGAGTCACACACACACACCTGTTCTCTTTATGGCTGGATAAATATCCTCAGCTCCCCACAGATCCTTTCACACACTGTGCACATCAAGCATCTTGCTCCGGCCCTGTTCCTGGCTGGGCTGCAGTGGGAGCAGCTGGGGTGTTGCTCAGGGTGCCCACGTAGTCAGCAGGGTACGTTATCACTCCTTATCTTGTTTGCAGAGCTGAGACAGACAAGCGTAAAGATGAACGCACCAATCCATTCACAAACATTGCAAAGAAATACTCAAGTTTTCCTTTCAGCAGAGCAAATACTGGGAAGTGAGCTGACAAAACACGAGGTCAGCTGGCATCCTGGTCTATAGAATGACTTCTATTTACTTTCTCTTGCCTTATCTCCCTTGAATAACTTGCATTTGGGATGTAAGCATACATTCATGTTTATCTTTTCAAAAATACGATCATGGCTGGAGTAAGCCTCTGCTGGAGTGAAATTCCACTCAAGTCAATGGTATCCAGCCATGTTCCAACATGTGGGCTGGGTTAGCTTTTGTTTTCAATCTTTAGATTACATCCTTAAGCAGGGCTTTAGCTGCACTGAATTTCAGCACTGCCCACGCTGCCCTTCAGACACAGGGTGTAGGCATGCCAGCCTCTGCTTCCAGCAGGAGGCTTTGAATTGCCAAGCTCACAGGGAGCAGTATCCACCTCTCCTCACTCCTGTGGTCCATGCCCTTCACCCAGTTTTCTTTTTCATAGCTCCATTTCTCTCCACATCTCCAGATTCCTACAGGCCTTCAGTTGCTTACGCGCCCCTTTTTCCCACAATGTCCCCAAGAACCAGACAATCCTGCAGGACAAGCCTTGGCTGCCTTTCTCCAAGGAAGTTTAACTGCAGCATATGAGCAGAATCAGAGAAACATGAGGTACTCAGAGTCAAAGACAACACACTGCAGAGAGGATATTGCCCTTGAGGCAGGAGGCTCCCCCAGCAGCAGAGGTGTGTGAGCTCTCACCAACTCAAAGCTGATTCTAAGCAAGCAAAAGTGCAAATTATTCCCTTTTAAATCATAGTATGTGACAGTTTACCAGCTTGAAGAAACCTAGGCTGGCTTAGGGTTCTGTGTAGACAAACAACACTGGTTTCATAAGCTTAACGAGTTTAAACCTCATGAACTCATGAGCTGCAGTTGACTTTTATCTTTGAATCATTTGACTCTGAAGCTTGAATAGTAAACAAGTAGTATAGTTATGGACCTGAAACTTTCAGGCTTTGCACATATCAGATTTATGAGCTAAAGTAAATTAAATGAGATGAATGCTTTTGTTACAGCAGCTTCTTTTTAGAAGTTGTTTCCCTGAAAGAGACTGAGTGGATGGATGGTGGTTTCAGAGAGGTAAATGCAAACCATCATCTTGCTGTTCATGGAAAAAAAGTAGTCCTTTGTTACCAGCACCTTGGAAATGAAGTAATAAAACAAAGAACACAGAGGTATTTGATGGCTGTTCTGGATTCATTAGGCTTGTGATTCAGCTTTTAAATTCAGGGTAGCAATTGTCTTGTAAGAGAGATACAATACAGGTAATAAATGACAGACAATCTTAAAACATTTATAATCTTAATAATCAAAACACAGGGAGAGAGACAGGAAATCAATACATTACTTTTAGAAATAGCATCAAGAACAATGATCTGAGGGAGAATAATAAGAGGAAACCGAGAAGATAAAGCACTCTAGGGGTAATTTTAGACAGAAAGGCGACCATAACAATCTTCTAATGTAGCAAGGGAGCTACAGTGAGCTGATCTGGGTAGCTACAAGTTATAAATAGTATGAAACAATAGAGACTAAGAAACATCAGAACTTTTCAAGCTGAGGGAGAGGAAAGAAAACTGAGCAGCTGTTTTATTTGTGTTGCCCCCAGATGAAGGGAGGAAGGAACAATGAATCTGACTCCATGTTCTAGAAGGCTAATTTATTATTTTATGATACTATAATATATTAAAGAATACTAAACTATACTATACTAAAGGCTACAGAAAGGATACTTACAGAATGTTAAAAAGGTAGTAATGAAAACTCATGACTCTTTCCAGACTCCTGACACAGCTTGGCCTTGATTGGCCAATGAGTGAAAACAACTCACACCAGAAACCAATAAAACAATCACCTGTGGTAAACAATCTCCAAACACATTCCACATGTGAACACAACACAGAAGAAGCAAATGAGATAAGAATATGTTTCCCTTTTTATCTGAGGCTTTTCAGTTTCCCAGGAGAAAAATCCTGGGCAAAGGGATTTTTCAGAAAATGTGAATGGGACAAGCAGTCCTATATAGCTATTTGTGCAGTAACTAATACTCATGTGTGGGACACTACTATTTTTCTCATCCGTGTTTACAAGTGTCCCTCTCACTACATGTCAGAGTTAGAAAGACCAGAGCTGAAGCAAAACCTTACCTAAAAGCAGGGTTACTGTCATAAAGCCGCAGGGCAAGATCAGAAAATTTGTAATTGAGCATTCCTTTCCACAACTCCTGTTGCCATGATGTTGATGGAAATGATGGATGAGCTCCATGACTGGCTCATCTTTGAGAAGAACCATTCCGGTCTAATAAGTTGTTCCATTTTTTCAGAAACAGAGTCATTTCACAGGGATTACTTTTTTCTCTTCCTGGGAATATTTTACCAGATTATGATACCCTCTGGTATCATTTGCTTTAATCAAGCATAAAGGTACAATAGGTGCAGACATTTCTACTACTCTGCAATACACAAAGAGAAGTTACAAACAAGAGGACATGAGAAAGAAGAGATGCAGGAGAGGCAATGGTAGCCAAAATAAGAGCCATACTGTAATACTTCTTGTGACTTAAGAATTCTTCGGTATTCCAGTAGCTCAAACTCAGGCAATCCCATCTCCCAACACATTTAATGACTTGCCCAAATCAGCACCTGGACATTTCACAGAAACCCTTTATTTAGCTTATGGAAACCTATTTATAGCAGTCACTGTAACCATCCAGTTTTCAGACCTTTCATGGATATTTCATTACATTCTCTGTTTCCAAAATGAGTCATTCTTCCTGCAGAGTAATTTTTGAAGATGACATTACAATATGTAGAGATAATGCAATATTTTCCTCCATACAGACATTTTCTCATTTAATTTCTTATTCCATTTCAGAGAAGATTATAAAAATGTAAAATGGCATATCTATTGTTCATGGGTCATCAGCTGCTTTAATCAGCAGAGTTTCAGTTCAGTTACAAGTTCTAATGAGATTTTTCCACTGAAACTGATGCCTTGAGAGGCTACCTAGAACAGAGGCTAGACAGTGTTAAAGGAATAAAGCAGGGATTTATTAAAGGCTTTCAAAGGATACACCTTGGGCAGCACAAGAGCCTGGCTGTGGCTACACCCAAGATGCACCCTGGGTCATGAGTTTTCGCACATTTATAAGTTTTGGTCCATTTCCATCTTGGGGTTAATTGTCCAATTCCAGCTCCAGGTAATGCAGTCCCATCCTCCCAGTTTGCTCTCCTCAATTTGATGTTGTTTGCACTCTTTGGGCCTGAGGCTGCAACGGTTCTGGGGCTGGAAAAGGATTGTTCTGTGTGACTGAGCTGTGAGGAGAACCTGCCAACACTCTATATGGAGTTCGGAGTTATAAACTAATGCAGTACAGAATCTGGAAAATATGAAAGCAAAAACTTAAGGCATCAAAACTAGTGGAATTATACAGATAGACATTCGATTAAGTTTTGCCCAATTACGCTATCACCTGTAAGCAAGAAATTATTTCTTTATTTTTAAACACTTAGAGAAACAACAATTCATTTCATTACATAAAAAAGATTAGGGGAGTATAAATAGGAGGAGCACTGAAACATTATCACATATCTGAATACAGTAATCTAAAGGGGTAGGCAGAATTCTTTTGTATCAACTAGATCAAACTTTTAAAAATCCCTTGTGAATCACTGGGCAGTTTTCCCCCCAAAAGCAGGGGAGGACAGCACCTTCTAGACCAGTTTGGTCTAAATCTCAGAGTTCAGTAAACATAAATTTGAAATATTTTAATAAAACAAGGTCACTATATTGTGATATTTCCCTGTATTTTAGACATGAGGGGAGAGAGGAGGTAAAGGACATGATCCAAGTTTCAGTTTTGCCACTACCACAATTGGCATTTATTTATGTGCCTAAAAGAACTGTGGCCTTCCTCCCAGCTTTCCAGGAGGCATTCAGGAAAACTCGTAAATCTGTGACTACCCAAACAGCACAGACATGCAGGATGCTCCTCACAGATCACTGTCAGATCATAATTTGCAATTGTTGATTAAAGAGTAATCTTGGCTATTTTCAAACCTAGAAAACAGGCCTAACAAGGACAGACAATCTATTCTGTATTTGGAAACTTAGTTGCTGATAATGAGTTTGGCTTCCTTTGCCCTTGCTCTGTTCTGACCCTGGTGATTCCATATTTTATCCTCACCTTCAAACTGAAAGACCAGGACAAGATGCACTTGATGTCTATGACTGAGCTCTTTAAATATTCTAACAAATTCTTGTCTTCTCTCTTGCATCTCCTCCTCCCTCTGCTCTCCTACAGGCAAGAAACAAAAATATCTCAACCAACTGAAAGCTCTATTCAACATCATCATAAAAATTTCAGTCAGAAATAATGCTCTGACAAAAGATTTTGTAATACAATCCCTTCTGCTCTGCTACAGGAATAACTTTCACACTGATTTTCATGTAAATAATATGAAATATGAAAACTATAGAGGTAATTTTTTTCTCGACTTTCTTTATCATCAGCTGGTACATTTTGTGACCAAGAAAAATAAAAACCCGCATTTTGTACAAACCCATGACATTTAGTTAGTTTCACTAACTAAAAGCAAACAGCAAAAGCAAACAGCCCCTGTTTTGTCCCCCAGAAATATATACAGGTTTTAGTATATCTCTAGAAGAAGTGAAAACTTCCAAAATGCTAACGCTCTTCTAAGTCAGCACAGCAGATGGTCTCAGCAGCCCTTAAAATAACCCCTGACCAATAATAAATTAGTTAATTGATAAATGTCCTACAATGTAGAAGACAACTTTAGCCAAGAGATCATCATTAGTCTTTCAGACTTATTTAGGAGATTACATTGACATTTAACATTTGCTAGGTTTAAATTTGACAATTCAAGATTCCAACATGTCCCACCACTGTATGTATTTTATATTCAAATAATATTTACAATAATGTAATAAGTATTTTTTTTTTTAATCCTTATTTTCATTTTATGGATTGGGGGATTGGGTTGGTTCCTCAAGGCATGTTAGTATGTGTATTTGTCTTCTACTGAGGTTAATCTGAGTTTTTAAAGATATGAGTGTCCTTAGAGAAGGACAGATATAGAAAAATTACTTACTCATTACTTCATCTTGTCCTTAAGTAGCATCTCTGTGTCTGTATTCAGCTACTCCAACTGGCCAGAACCTGAAATGACTTGGTTTGGATGAATGCCTGTGAAAAATGGACAAAATCAACCTTTGTTTACTGTTCCAGCACTGGTTTTAGTTGCAACCAGTATGTCCTACACCACAGCAGTAAAAAGCTTTAGATTTCTTGATGGTGGAAAATCCTGATCTCTTGCAAGAAAATGCTTTTAGCAGCCTATGAGAGACTGAACCCCCCCCCCAGTAATTATGGACAGTTGTGTGTTAGGTGAGATCCCACGGAAGCAGCCACTCACTATTTGTAAACAAGCTGTACAATGAAGGGGTCTGTCCTTGAGTATCTTGCTCTTTCATGGACGTAACAGTGCAGTTAAACAAAAAACCACTAGCCCTAAGAGCAGATTTCCCATGTAATCAAATATTTCCCTATAGTTCATCTGACATTTGTCTAGTATGTAGAGTAAAATCATACTTAGAGTAAAAAGAATACAGCATGTTCTGTGTTCTCTCTCTTCATGAGGAGTCTTCATGAAATCCTACAAAAACTATTGCAAATTCTGCAAAAGCAGAGAGGGAAAAGGGTGCAAGAGCTGCTCCCCTTGCAAGCATGGAGTTTCTGAAATACCACAGTTCCTTTGCAGCAGTCCATTTTCACAATGTTTATTGTGTTTAAATAGTTCCTGAAACATTGGTAGCACAATCCCTCATCTCAGTGCTTTCACCTAGAAATCTTAAATCTTGCATTTCCTTACAGAGTGTATCATATAGGACCAATTACTAGTTTTATAGTACTTTCACCTGTAAAAGTCTAATGAAAGACAAATTCAAAGTATATTCTTCAGTAACATAGCATCATTCTCTCTAATCTCCAAATTGAAAGAAGTGAGACTGTCACATTTTAGCAAAGCAGAAATTGGAAGCATAGTGGAGATAAGAAACCTCTGCTCCAAAGCTGAGGATAAATCAACAAACCAAGGTTTTTCAGGAGAACCTCATCCTCAAAAGGGTGAAAAAAAAGTTAAACTTCAGAGTTTCATTTCATCTTCTAAGTTTGGGCGTAGCTTTTGAGGCAATCTGAATGCAACCTCTGAGGATGCAAAGTTCACAGATGTGACTGCAGAAGTGTATTAAAAGGTCAGTTATATTTGCTTTTGCACATAAATGGAAATTATTCCCCTATGTATTTACTGGGCTCTTTGACAACATTATGGAATCGATCTGGTCAGTCAGAAGATTATTCAGTATCTTTCAGTGTATCATATGCTTCCCTCAAAGTCATTGCAAAATGGAGAGAGATTTCTGGATTAAGTATCCGAAGACACAGGAAATTTCTTCAAATAACCTTATTCAATAGCTTCCCGGTGATCCCATCCTTACTGTGGCTCTGATTTCTTCTCTCTCCTATCAGATGGGTACTGAAGATAAAGCTGTGCTCAGTCACAGAAGTGGGCTTATTATTTCAGCTCTTATTCTGACAAAATGAACAACACTGCCATGAACCTTCCAGCTAAGCCAGGCCTGGTAAAACATCAAGATGCATCCACCGAACTTCACACCTCTTGACATTTACGTGGGACAGCAAAAAATTTGCAGGTCTGCTGCCCCAGGCCACTCAAAGGTACTTATTTGCAAAAGATAATTCTGTAGGCAAGGAACTGCACGCCTCAAAATCACTGTCTTTTCAGGTTTTGGGTTTGTCATTTGACAAAAGATACAATCCCAATGGAATTTCCGCATACTGCAATTCTTATGCAAGAGAAATATCAAAATTATCAAAATGGTATTGAAGCAGCTTATCTGCCACTTTGGCTCAAAGTTGCAAATTATAATAAGGAAGGTCAAATAGTTGTAAATTATAATAAGGAAGGTCAATTTTTTCTCTCTGCTACCATGCACTTCAACAGGACTAGGGCTGTAACAGAACAGGATTTGTGCCACTTGCAATAAATGATGGCCAAATCTCACTTCTCTTAAGTAGGTTTCATTTCAAGTAAATAAAAACTCCCAAATCAATCCTGGCAGTTTTGCATTACAGCATTCAGTGAACACATTACCTCCACCTTATTGAATAATAACACAAATCACACCCAAGAAATGTCTGGACAAAGTTTTCCTTCACTTTACCCATAAGGAGGAGGTTTTACTCTCCACCATTTGAATCTGAGAGCAACTTAGTACCAAGGTGTTTCTTAAAGCAAGTTCTGTTACTCATGTTGAAATATTTTAAGAATCTGCCTTTAATTTATTGCTGGAAGAAGAAAGACTGTTGAACCTTAAAGCTTTTGCACATTGTAAAAGCTCATAAAGCCTTGAGAGCTTTGTCCACAGACCCCACAAAAAGTGTGGCTCATTGAATACTATTCTTTTCTCAGTATGCAATAAAGAGAAATATTATTTATAGAAGCATACAAACTATTAAGAGACTGTTTTTCTTTGAAGTTTAGACATAGCAAGGGAATAATAATTTGGACCATCAGCAGTATTTACAATTTCTTTGAATTGGGGCCACACATCATATCATGGCAAATATGTGGTTACTATGTAGTATTCCAATTTCTCAAAATAGCTCTGACATCCATGAGTTTGCTGAGATCTAATATCTTATTGTTTTTGGTTCAGGAGTGACTTGAACCCTAAAGCAATTTTAAGAGCACAAACAATGGAGCAGTTTCCTTGCCTTAAGGCTCTCACTTCCGTGCCTCATATTAGATCTTTACATACATCCTCAAAAAGGTCCTACAGTTCTCAAAAAATGTTCCTGGTTGGATTTGTGAAAAGCCTTCAGCACAGACTCATTTGTTCCCACTAGAACTTTTGGCAAGAGCTTGGTAAAACCCACTAGAGCAGACAGTTGTAACAAGTTGTACATTACATGACTGCTGCTGCACTTACCAGCTGTGCTCTGAGAACTTAAATCATGCAAGAAATCGTTCATCAGTGTTCATGTTAGTCCAGACTAAGGAGAGAAAAGAATTCTTCCCAAAATGTCTGAAAGATGAGATTTGAGGCACAATCAGCTGTAACAAAATGTTCTAGACTGGCACTAGGTTTGTGGCAGATATTTCCTACAGAGAAAAACTGCTCTTTTTCTGAAGCTATTAGGAAGACCAGGAAGTACCTTCCTACAAAAAATAAAAGGGAATTGGTTCTTTCATATGTAGCAATCAGAGGAGAAATGTACATACAATTAGAAACAATGCAGTACCTTTTAACTTGAGCTATAATATGCAGCCCAAAATGTGAGCGTTTAAAGCCATGCCCAAATACATCAGTTTCAGGCCTACTCTATTTAGGTTAAAGTCTGTTTCTTATGCCTGCAGCTAAGTAGCATTTTCAAATGTAGTAATAGTTACATAAGACAAAATACCCAGTGCAAAAACACCCCACCCTCTGTGAAAAGAAGCATGATAAAGTTCTGTTGAAGAGCAGACAGCAGAAAATGGATGTGACTCTCTCTCTTTAGCACTTTCTTCATTTCCCAGGCTCCTGTAGTCAGCGAGGAAGAGAGGAGCCTTCATTGGCAGTCCTGCTAGGAAAATAATGAAAATATCACTAGTTTACTCCTGGAGTAAATTTTTTTCTCCAACAGCTGTTCACTGAAAAAAAATTCAATTTGTGCTGCAGAGTTTAGATGAAAGATTGAAAAATGTGCATAATTTTGATTTTGTCTTCCCTACCTTCCTGGCACGGTGTGAATCCATACAACACCCACAGATCCTGACAAGAGGTGACCTTTCCCCTTATAAACAGAATATTGCCACAAGATTTTGCACTTCCTGTGTTTTCATTCAGTACAAGAATACAGAAATCAAATGCAAAAAAAAAGCCATTGCTGAAGCATGTTCTGAAAACTACCTGGGTTGAAGGAACAACTGTCACATTTTGAACACAATTCAGAAGGGCATTTGGGTTCCTGCAGTCACCAGTTGTATTTTAATCACTTCAGAACATGATATGCCTGAAACAACCATGCAAGAGCTGCATAACAGCCAGTAATTTTCCTCAGGTCGTGTCAGGCAAAAAGTACCAGTAATTTTCCTCAGGTCGTGTCAGGCAAAAAGTACCAGTTTCTTTTCTCCCCATCTGATTTTATGCCATGTACTCAGAAAGTTGTCGTCTGGCCTTTCTGTCCCTGTGATATATTGCATCAGTCTGCTGGTTCCCACAAGTTGATATTTAAAGTGCTTCTGTTCACTTATGCCTGCCTTGTAAAAGGTCTCTTATGTTGTTTTTCTCCCCACCCCCTTCAAGAGCAATAAACATTCTGCTAAGGAAAGGCTTTAGCATCAATCAGATTTCAGTGCTGATTAGAGGGGAGGTACTCTGGCTGCATTTGAAATGGGCCTCTTTTGACTGTTTTTGCTCCTAAAATTAGCCGGGCCATTTCCTGAGAGAAGCCTTGGGATAGATGCAGACACCCCCCCCACACACTCCTCCCTTCCCCCCACCCCAGCCACCACACTGGAGCTGCGTCAGAAAGCACAGGGAGAGAGCTGCAGAGCTGCTCAGAGTGGCTAAGAAAGCTAGGAAGCTGCTCTCCTCCTGGCTGGCAGTGGGGCCGTGGAGAGCCCTGGCTGCCAAACCCAACCTGCAGGTCACTGTTTCAAACACTGAGTGTCTGAGGCACCAAGGGAAGGCCTGAAATTGCAGCCAAGGACAAAACCCTGCTCAGCTCCAGCCCCTGCAGAGCCAGGGCTGTTATTATTTATGCCAGGACTTGTTCTCCCTTTGGTTTGCTGCTCAGCAGTCACATTTCTGTGACAGCATTTCTGCCAACAGCAAGGTCTGCATTAACCGGGGATGCCCTGGGTGCAATACTGCAGAAAGGCAAAGACAGCAATTCCTAAAAATGTTTCCTGCCCCCATGCACAAAAGGATGCTCTCCCTGATTTTGTGGGGACTGTTGAATTCAGCCCATTTACTCAGTTCTGTGAAATTCAATAGCGTAAGTTTTGGACCTGGGCACAAAAGTTCCAATACTCACATTGTAAGTAATGCATGTATCTACATCAGAATCTGTGCAGGCCCTATTCAGATAGGTTTACATCCTGATAGCAGGACAAAGATAA